ATTTTTTTGAGAACACCTAACCGTTTCTCTTAAGCTCGTTAAATTGGGGATTGAATGGCTTAGTGGGTTATTGCTCGATTGGGAACGCCGAAGCTGAGGTTCTAACCCCCGTAGGAACAAATCTGTCCAGAAATCCGAGTGATGCTTGCTACTCACCTGTACTTCTATCGCTAAGGGACTCCATGGCATATTGTTTAATGTGGCAAGCTAGTGGAGCGATTTTAACCAGTAATGGTGAGGGCTCTTAAAAAAAAAAGCTCGTTCCGTTAGTTTCCATTGGACAAGAATTGTCACGGAATCACATGGCGAAGTGCATTATCACTCAAATTTTCGAAAGATTTTTTCCGACTAGGAGATCTAGCAGAAACTCTCTGAAATGAGAACAATAACTCACTGAGCCATATTTTATATTTGAGGAAATGATAATGCCTTCGGATAAGATTTCACTTTCGCTTAATTGTCGCAGTTGATAAAAAAAAAATATTTAAGATCGTTATAAATAAATAAATAAGAACAAATTTCTTACAACTTCTTTGATCCTATGATATTGGCATATATCAACGATTCCTTTTCAATCCCTCCTGGCAATTCTTCAGACAATAAAGCAAAATTGCAAACATATTATTTGGCTTACACAATATATATGTATAAAGAACTATGGCCTGGCCTTATCGTGCAGAATGATGAAAGCTTTTTTACTGAGCAGTGTCGGTTGATATCTTTAATTTCTGGTGACTGTTTCCAATTCTTTACTGCACAGTTGTTATTAATTCTTTACATACCTATGTCTAATCACTAGGTATGTTGGATTCCTTCATTTCAGCGGTTTCTCATCGAATGCTTTACAATATGTGTGAAATGTTTTAAAAAATTTATATTTATATTATAAAGTAATTTATAAATAAATAATAGAAGCATTTTGAAATTAATCTGTAATTTTAATTAAAACAATTTTTTAATTTTACTAAATATATTACTAAGCACGTTGAACTGCCGTAAGCTACCGCATATGAATTAAACCACAAGAAACTTTAGCAGTATAGAAAACCATCATATCAGCGCAGTCCTTATGCTATCTACTGATAGCAATGAATATGAGACCCATTCCTGCCTGATAAGATTAATCCTGAAATTCGATTAATTACTTTGTAATCACTATAACTCCATACTATAATTCTATTTTTTGATGAGACGTTTCTATTCTGGAGACCAGTGAAGTCAATTGAACTAGAAATGGTACTTGTAGGAGATAGAATAAACAAGCTTTTTCTTCCGTATACAGTTAATTATAGGTTAAATAATAATGAAAACTTATAAATTTAGATAAATAATGAATAAAACTTCTTTTGACGGAATTTTATGGCTAAGAAGACTGTATGACTATGAGCTCTACGTTCCCACAAAATTACTTGCAGGTATGAACGATGGAAATGCTTGAAATTTTAAATTTATTATTATTTTCATTTAAAAAAGATATTTAAAATAAACAAAAGAATTTTTTTAATTTTTTGATTAATTCTTAACTTTTTTGACTATTTATATTAATAATATTTCAATTTCTATTTTATATTATTAAAATTATTAAAATTATTTTAAGCCTTTAAGCATTATTTAAACATTCTTTTGGGCCTTTATGGTCCTTTTTTTAAATTTCTGTTTTGTTCACTCGAATATTTCTCTCGACAAATCATTTTATTGCGAATTAATTTAGTTTTATAATAAATTTAGTTTTATACTAATAATAAATGAATATTTTAATATTTTTTTTAAAAACAATAATAGAAAAATGGAATTAGAAATCAATTATATTTCACCGTGCAAAAAAATATTATTATAAAACTAAATTTATTATAAAACTAAATTAATTCGCAATAAAAAAAAAATTTGTCAAAAAATCATTAAAATTCTTTGAGAAAATTTCTTCAAATAAATTTTCTATAAATATTCTAAAATAGTGAATTTTCACTTAAAAATATAAATAGTTTTCTCGTATTTATTTGCTAAACATTTTTATATTATATTGTTCGTATTTAAAATGAATTCCATGGAGCGATTCATATGATAATAGAACGATTTGCAAGAGGCAATAATAATTACAATAATAGTAATAAGTGAATCCCGTAAACAATTTGCTATTTATTATTATTTTCAACCTTCGGATATTCTTCTATCAAATTATGATATTAGAAAATTATATATAAATTATATATTCGGCACTCATTTGTTATATTTGCTGTGTCCATAAAAAGCAACTCTCCGAAAAAAGTCATCTTTTAATAGCAAATGGAATTCGGCTAATATTATGATGTGAATGTTATGATAACTAAAGAAATATTACTCCTTAAAATCGAAATTTTGCTAATATAGTTGTTTTTTAATAAAATCGAAAAATATTAAAAATATTAAAAAAATAGATTTTCTAAATTTATTTTATGCATAAATATATATATATGAATATATAATAAATATTTATAGTGGATATTTATCACCTATTTTTATATTTTTACATATTTTTTGATAATAAATATTTAAAATAAATAAATATTCTTAGTTTATTTTATATTTATTAAATATATAATTTTTTATTTATTTTTTATAATAAATATTCATAATAAATGTTTTTTTTTAAATACAATTTTTTTAAGCGAAGTAGTAATTTTTTTTTTTAAATTTTTAAAATAGAAATCATCTCTATTGGAGTCTTTAAATTAGATAATACTCCACTAATATTCAACTATCTTCAGGCGAATAATTCGATATATTTATTTACCCTGACTTCTTATGGAAAAAAATTGATTCGGTTCTATTCGGTTTTTTGATTAACCTTTATAATTGGTCATTATCTACAGATCATAATTAAATAGGGCCGCTTTTGTAGTTCGATTTAGCGAAATCCCTGATATTGTTTCATACAATAGGTTTTCGATGGCTATTAATAATTTAGGCGCAAACTAAACTTGTTTAATTGGGTCTCTAATTATTTATGCAGTTTCTGGCAAGGTACGCGCATTAATAAATGATAAGGCATCTGATATTATTCGTTGCACCCATCTATTATTATTCATAATATATTAACAATATTATTGTTAATAATATTACAAATATTTTTTCTAACTGTAGCATTAATCTTTATAAATTGCAAAATTCAGAATATTTAGGTTTAATTTAAATGATTTAGATAAATACGAAATATTTGCAAGATGACTTCAAAATCTGCGAATTTATGCCCCTATTTTATGAATTAATTAAATTTCTTAGATCAGTGATTAAGCTAAATTTCGATCTTCACAAAAAATTGTTTGTCCAAAAATCTTCTAAAATCTCATATTTAGAACCATTATAAATAGATCGAATCTGAACGTTTTCTTGTCGCTTCTTCCCGAAAAACAAAACAATACAGTTTTCTCTTCTTTTAATAGTAAATAGCTCAAATTAATTAATTTGCAGAGATATTTTTTGCAAAAGTAATTTGATTTACATAATTTGTATCTAAAAGAAACGAAGAGATATGACAATAGATTACAAATGTCTCAAACATCATCCAGGAAAAGAGTTTTACTCCTGGAAGTCGAACCACAGCATGGGCTCTTCGCAACGGCCCACTGAGCCATTCTACTCCTAAGTTATTCATTATTAAATAAAATTGTTTTCTTGCAACCTTAATTTTAAAATTGATATCATTATTTATTCTTAAAATTAGATATTAAGGTTGCAAAGTAAGATAATATTATATGTGGTTGCATCAGCTCATTGTAATTCATATTTTTTTATGTTGGTACTTTTCTTTTACTACTTTATCACACAATCATATCATAAAATCAATTGATAACAGCTTATTATTCTAATTGATATCCTTTAAACAAATAAACTCTAGTTCAAATTTTTTTAGATTTTATTTAATAGGAAAAAATATAAGCACCAACAAATATTAATGCTTAACATTTATTATATTCAAAAAGTATAGAAGTTATAAGACAAATTATAAGATATTGTATTACAAATTATTACATAATTATAGTTATATTTATAGCTATTTATATCATGTATAATTTTAACTAGGTCAGTCATAACCATATTTTGAAAATATCTTAACATTTTATTAGATATTAATAGATTAGTAGTGTAAGCGCATTATTTGAAGGTCATGGAAGGTCATGAAATTCTACAAAGGAGCTATTGAACTGAGAGTCATTAAAGGCCTGAAAATTAAAATGAAGCAGAGTTTCCTGAGGCCGACAATAATTTTGCAGTTTTTTGGAATTTATTTATTCACTATATATAATATAATTTTTCTCATAGTTTCTAGACTTTTTAAATATAAATAAATATAAATAAATATAATTTAATGAATTTTCTATTTCGATTTTTTATTCAAATTATTATTAAAAAATATCCATTTCTCGATTCCTTGAAGCTAAGCAATATTCGCTAACGTTTACTATCATTTATTTTTCCTAAATAAGTTTTATGTTTTTATATATTTTAATAATCAAAAACAATTTTTAACTGATAAAAATATCAGAAAGATTTTAATTGAAATTATTAATTCCTACTGGATCAAATTTTTAAATTGCTTTTCATGCTACCATTATTGATTAGATTGGTTCGGCTGGCTGTTAGAATTAGACCTTTTTGAGATGTTCGCTCCGTATTATATCTAAAACTAGAGGAACTACTATTTTTGCAACCAAAATCCACCGTCTAAGCATTTGAAATTTCTCCTGGCAATATCAACATCCCTCTCGTCTTATATCCCTCTCGTTTTTGGTGCCATAAATATTTTTGCAAGTAGCGAAGAGCACAGCGTAACCAGCATAGATGACATTCTGTTCGCTATAATAGCTTAGTTAATGCAAAAGCTATTCGAACTTCAGTGAGTAAGTGATTAGGAAAGAAAATGGTTAGCACTTATGATTTCTAGTTAGACTCGGTCCGTTCTCTTCTATTACATCAAAAATTTCGTTTAGGAAATTATCTGATCTGGTGCTAGAAATAGCAAGATGGATCACCGGTACCATGCAGAACCTGTATCTTTACTTCCAATTTGCTATCCACTCGACAATCTTGTTCGCCTAGTAAATACCAGATGCAATTATTTGAGCTTTAGCTGTTTAGCTTTAGCAGTAAATAAGTAAAACTAATCGGAAATGGTGAGTGCTAACCATTTATGTTATATTACTTATAATAATTCCACAAAAAGACTTCATAACCATATTGTTTTAAAAAAAAAAATACTAAATATTGTATTTTAAAAAATGTAATATATAATATAATATAAAATATAATATCTAATATTTTTATATTTAGATATTAAATCAATATTTATATTTAAATATAAAAATATTATATTTAAAAAAAAAATCTAACGACTTTTATAAATAATAAAAAAACTATAAAAACGAAAAAAAAAGACGCAAATTTCGCATTTATCATATAAAATTGCACAATTATTCTTTTTCATTGCATAAAAAAAATAAACGCTTCGCCAATTTTTATAATAAATTTTTGTAAAATAAATTTTGCTCAGGGATTGGGAAATTTTCAGGCAAATTGCCACTATGGTATTCAGGTTAACAGGGTGGACAAGTGTACTGCAATTATCTATAGCATACCTTATGTTACAGGTAATTACTTACTGCTTTAATATTCCAGATTCGGTAGAATTTTTGAAATTTAAAATTTTGAATAAATCTTTAGTCTTCAAAAGAAAAATGACTTTATATCTTTTTTATCTTGAAAAATGTTGTATGATAAAAATAGCGAAATAGACAAAACAAGGTATGAAAAATATATTAAATGACGAGAAGAATCGTTTTTGGCCTGTTTTCCTTGAAATTTTCCTGCATTTTAGAGGCCAAAAAAATAATGAAAATGAACCTGAAATGCCTAGGCTCTTTTCTTCTTTTGAATAATTTTCTTGAATATGCTTGAAATATTGAAAATTCCTCATCTTAATCATTATGCTGATTTTTTCTACCACTCTACCACTTTTTAATTCCTTTAAAATTTCTCGTTTTTAAATTAATGAAATTTATGTTTAGGGTGGTTCGTTAGCGAATTATGAAAATGGTCTTATCGGCTCACCAGAAATTCAGTGTAATTCAGATGCCATACAAATGGCATTTAGAACAAAACATCCTTTTAAAGGTTAATTATCTTAAGTCTTTATTTATTTCTTATCAGCTCTTTTCAATCATTCGCACATTATTAGCCATTAAATTGTTTAAAATAGCAGAGGGAATAAGTTTGCTTACGTATTTATATTGGAAATTTTTCTTTAATGAGCCTACCACAAGCTCGTTAGATTTGCTACTTTTTCCAAGCAGACATTTACAGTATAGTTAAATTTCCAATATCGCCTAAATATTTAATTGAGGAATTTCGATCAGTAATCCATAATTTCCTCGATAGTCCCAAATTCTCTTACTTAAAATAAAATAAGTTTCTATATTGAATTACTACATAAAAATGGAAGAAAAAAAGTTTTTACTAATTTTTATAATATGTAAAATTTTCCTTTTGAGAAAAAGTAATTTGAAACTTAACAAAAAATATTGACAATATAATCATAGTCGTTAACTGGGGATAGAATGGCTCAGTGGTTTGTTGCTCAATTGGAAGCGCCGATGCTGAAGTTCGATTCCCCGCAGTAGTAAATCTCTACAAAAATCCGGGTGATGCTGGCGACTCATCTGTTTTTTTATTACCAAAGGACTTCCTACCATATTCGCTCAATAGCGACAAACCAGTGATGGTAAGGACTTTTCAAAAAAAAATAGTTATTAACTATTGGTTATGGAAATTGCAGGAAAAATCTTCGTAAAGGGTCACTACAATAATCCAGATTGCAAAGTAGATTATAGTAGGACAAATCAAGATGGCCAACCAATTGGTGGTATTAAACTTAGTCATGGACAATGTGACATGGATCGTCAGAGAACGGTTAGCAATTTATTTATTTCTAAATGAAAAAAAGTCTCATAAAACGCCTTTTCATGAAAAAAACAACTATATAAATAATAATAACCGGTTGGCGCTTGCCATTTCTTACTGGCACAATTTCTCCGATGATTATTACGGTTAGTAAATTTTAGCTAAGAAGTCATCTGATAATCATAGGAGTATATGTGGATTGCCACTTTTCAATGACAGGTTTAAGATTACAGAATTACTATTCCTGTTCGATTAGTAGAATATCGAAACAGCCATCCTTACTCTGAACATACGAAAAGTACCAATTTATATATATATCCAGATTTCTTTTAAGATTTCATAAATATTTTTAGTTAAAAAAAGGTCAAAATTTTCGCAAATTTTTATATTTTTTGCTAATTTTAATATTATAGAAGAAAATTTATTATTCAGTTAAAATATATTCAAGCTGATAAAATAATTATCATTAGTATTAATTATTTAGATTCAACCAGAAGGAATGCAATTTTCAACAATTCTCATTATCAGCTTTCATCCGGTAACCGTTTTTAAGAATGAGATTAAATAATAATTGCATTAGCGAGGATTTTTTTAGCAATGTAATAAAATTTCAGCCTAGTCTGTTCTAGCAAATAGATAGAATCGCATCTTGGAATAATCCTCTTATAACGATTATTGCGCATAGAGAAATGTGAAGTGGCATTCTAAAAATTACAAATGAGACTTATAAGAAAATAATTTTGGTTCACCTTTTGAAGTGTTAATGAGGCAGACTGCTTTAAACGAACTATTCATACCACGCGAGAGAATGACAATTGCAATATATAGGAATTCGATTAAATTGTACGGATACGTGAAAGGGAATATCAAAGGCTTTTAACTGAGAGGGTGCTTAAAGGAGCACAGTAATTTGAGTTTTAAGAGTACCAAGCAAACTTGACAGGAATGTAGGAGGCTTGGAATTAAAGCAGAATAACAAAGTTCGAGACAGCGACCTCAAATGAATAGGTTAGAATAATATTATTTTAGCTTTTATAAAATTTTTTGAAACCTATTCATATTTCATTTAGTTATTTATAACGAAAATTGATCGAGCTTTTCATATCAAATGTATGTATCAGGAATATTCAAGAACGGTCAAATCAGGAATCGAGGTTAGGTAAGTCATAACGATAAGGTAAATCATTGCCACAATATAATTTTAATCGTTCCGGCCAGATTTGGCCAATTATAAATTTTTTTGGCATTTGCTTATGCTAAAAATGCCAGAAAATTTTTTTTCACAAAAAACTTCAGAGGAATTTATTGCCGTTGGGGATTTTCTAAAAAATTCTTTTTTCCCTGAAAAATTTTCGGGAAAAAAATTTTTGAAGAGTTTTTCGTAAAATTTTATGAATTTCTTCATAGTACTTTTCAAGGAGATCAATTAAAATTGGGTTTCGAAATATTTTTTTCTTAGATTCTTAAATTCAGATTTAAAGTAAATTTAATAATTATAAAAAAAATAAAAATATTAATACAAAATTTCAGCTCAATTCCTACACAAATATTAAATAACGAATTTCCTATGCCAAAATGTACTTATACGATTCGTAAAGATGAAATTGATGGACCAATTTTAAAATATGCTCGAGTTGGTGATCAAATTGTACATCGATGGGAATGTGAGTCGGGTAAGTAATTGGGTTCAAATTGAAAAGTTTTAGTCTAGCAAAATAATTTTCAAAGTTTAATTTAAATTTAAAATCTTTATATTAATAAAAAAAGTTTTAATATTATTCTAATTATTATTCTAATTTCTATGAAAATGATTAAATATTACTTACTTCTACTGTTATACTTGGTTCTTCTTTGGTTCGTAGGCGAAAGATTTCTTTCTTTTGTTTAAACTTAAATTTTTTGAAGCTTATTTCTCATATTTATGCTTTTTTGAAATTTCCTTAAAATCTTTATTATTCCCTTCTTGTTGCTTTAAGTAATCAGACTTAGTTGTCTTATCCCTTATCACTTTTTTTTACAAAATTTACAATATGATAATCGAGAAAAATGAATGTTAATTCATAATAATATGAGCCTAATATCAATATATCAATCTCCTTAAGTTTTTTTTAATAGCCAATTTTTATAGAAAATTTGCTCTCTATGTGATTTTCTAGATAGAATAATAATTTTGATCCAACTGATCGCTAAGAATACCAATGAATAGGCGCTTTTCTCGGAACACAAACAAATAAATGAATTTAAAAAAAATTGAATTTTGGTGCAAAATATTTCAAAAGTGCAAAAATTTTAACAAAATTTTTAACAAAAAATTTGGTGACAAAAGTGACGATGAAATATTGGCCCATTAATTTATTCTCACCTCTACAAATGCCGTACAAATGGAAAAAATAAACGTAGTTTTCTCAATAGAAAATTGTAATCTGGCAATATTCAAGAATAAAAATCCTAAAAATCCTGGCCAATCCACGTTGTTAATTACCAAAAACTCGTTGGGAACTCTGCAAAATGCAACCCAATACTAAGTGAAAGTTCTTATAATTATTGGTACTTGCTATTAGTCAAAACAGACAATGAAAATAATTAAGAACAAATACCTTATTTTGAAAATTTGGAAATTAAAAGTTTTTAAAAATTTATAACTTTTATTTGTTGAATTAGTGAGGAGTCAACGAGTGGAATGTTGAATGCTGCTTACCGATAGATTAAGCCAACATAATTTTAATTTTTGTCCTTTAATGGAGCTGTCATTAAAAATGAAATTTAAGTGGTGAACTTTGACGAATGATCTTTATTTATTTCTGTTCCTCTCTTTCGCGGAAGGGTATTTTACCATCGGCTGACCATAGTAGAAAATGCGAATGCTTTCTGAAAGGGGAGTTAGGTCAGAGAAGGAACTGTTGAAATGAAAATCCCTTGTATATTAAAGATTTTTTTCTGTTTTGCAGAATTTTTAATGAAACTTTACTCTCGATATTTCAAATCATATTGTCGTACCTCTGTTTTTAATATGCAATCATGCTTGTCAACCAGGTGATGAAATATATTTCGCAGGTCACAGGTCGATGAGAAATGAATAGTGAAAAGCATGGGTATCAAGAATCGTTAATGATTTTGTGAACATGTTTTCTCCTCCGAGTGCAAATTCATTTGCAATTTAACGAATTCTTCAACGATCGTTTTCGATTAGAGAAGGATAAGAGAGTAGAAATTAATAATATCCAAGCATCAAATTCCATGCTGAGAGAAGCGACCGAAAAATCTTTAAAAAAAATTAGAGTAATATTGTTGGGCACAACTGTACTTTTTTTTCGAATAACATTCTGGCAAAAATTTCTCTTTGTATTGACGACCAGTGGATTAGCTAATCTAAGCAGAATGGTAGTCCATTAAATTTGAAACATCGTTAATCTCTTCGTTCTAAATTTTAATTTAATTTAAAATTTAATTTTTATTGATTCTTTAAAATCGGATTAAACCAATTAATCGAAATGAGAATAAAATAATGAAAATTATTTTATAAAATGAAAACGATGGTGATTCGTAATTTTTTTATTATTTTTTAAAATCATTTTTTATCACTTATAAACATTAAATGATCATTAAATCACTAAAAATTTCCTAAATTTATTCGATTTTTATTTTTATTTGAAAAGGTATTATTGTAAAGTATAATTGTAATTGGGATGCGAATAAGATGGTGAGATGTGAACCGAATGGTACCGTTGCATATTTCCAGTGAAGCAAAGATAGATGGATCACCAAGTTTCCACCTTTAATTTTTTAAGAAATTTCTGTTAAAAAAAAATTTTCAGATTTGTATGGTCTCTTAGTTCATAACTGCTATGTTGAAGATGGACAAGGTGAAAGGCAACTTATCATCGACGGAAAAGGGTAAAAGTTTCACAAAAAAACGAAACATGCCAGAATTTTTTTAAAAAATTTTTGTCTCCGACCAAATTCTATGCTTTAATTTAGATGTCATACTGATCATATGCTACTTGGTGATCCGACATATATCGAAACACTCTCAATGGCATATCGAGAATCATTGGTTTTTAAATTCGCTGATCGAATTGTTGTCCGTTTTCAATGTGAAATAAAATTATGCCTGAAGGAAAATTCTGGTTGTTCGGGAATTACAGTTTGTTTCTTTTCTGTTTTCTTTATTGAAAATTATCAATTTTATCAATTTTTATCATTTTTTTAATTCAGAAGTTTGAGAAGCATAAATCATTTTAAAAATTTTTTTTGTTCTTTTAATTGGTGATTTATTGAGAAAATTAGGATATCAGACAGAAATATTGAAGAAGATAATGATAATTGCAGGGTCTTACTGGTGAGATTAATTAGATTAATTAGAAATGCAGGAATTGCGAGAGGCTGAACTAAATCTCACTTTTTGGTTTTACTGATAAAGTGTGCTAAGAAAATAGCTTGCAACTGCATTCTTAATTTCTTGTTTTTTCCTGCTTTTCATTCGATTTTCTTTCTGAAAGATGGTAGTGCGAACTTTTCTCATTACTCCATATAAAGTAACGAATAGGGAAAAAAACTTTAAAGGGTTTTGCTAGTTCTTTTTGCCACACGAACTTTTCAATTCTTGTTGTTTATGCTCACAATAAATAATAATGAATATTTATCAATGGCAGTTATCAGGACCTCAAATTTGAATTAAACCGTAAAATATTTGCAGATTTTTGCATTATAATTCAATAAACATGAGATTTCTATTATCAGCACTTCATAAGATCCTTGTCCTGTGGATCTCTCCTATCCGTCTTTTCCCACAATCCTTTTCTAGTCACAATAATGAAACGATATTGGCTTGAGGTTTTTAATTTTGAGGAAGATGGTAAAAATTGGTCATTTAAAATAATGATTAGCTCATTGTCAATTGAAACCCCTGTCGCATAGTAGGTTGGCGTAAAGGCATTTTTTTCTCTTATATCTTTTTCGTTATTATGCTCGATATGTCCTATATCTTAAGGCCATAAGAGGAATGTTAGGCGAAGAAAAAGAGGAAAGGCCATAAGAAATAAGGAACTAGTTTATAAATATAATTTATAGAAATATAAAAATATAAAATAAAATATAAAATGATAACAAATAATGATAATTCATTTGTATTTACTTAATAGTAATGCTTTATAAAGAAAAAACTTGCAAAAACCTTAAATACCGTTTTTTTCTTTTTCAGCCACCGATTTGCATGAACTTTAATGAACCATATAAGAGCGAAGGAACAACTGAATTCGATAATTTGAGGAATGCGCCTAACATCTATATCAATGCAAGCAATGTAAGCTGTCATATTAATTGTATGATAGAGAGATAGAGAGAGAACAGTCATATCACAAATATAGTATCTATTTGAATCTCTAATCTCTTTTTTTTGGTGAACTTTTTATTTGTTTTCTGATAAAACGTACCATTCTTGATTTGGCTGGATGAGGGATTCGGGAGAGTTAATCCAAAGCGCCAGTTTAAGAAAAAGGAACAAGTGGAGCCTCTGAGAAAAGATAGGAATTGAAGTCAATATTTCAGCAAATAATGGTTTATGACGAGTTTTTTCTATATTTTAATTTTCATGATTTTTTTTGCTTTCATTTTGATTTTAAAACAATGCAGGAAGAAAATCCACGTTTTCCTCGATCAGTGAATTTATCGAGGCTAAAGGCGACGGCTGATACCGACCTAATTTCTCAATCCGTTTATGTATTTGATAACGAGGATATCAATGGTAATTTTTTTTTTTAAATTCTACAAAAATTGATTAAGAAATTTAAATTATTTTTTATTTTTTTTTTATAGGAACCATTTCGTCATTTCTAGTAATCGAACAAAATTTGTCAGTCAGTTAACGATAGAAGCATTAGTGGATTGCCAGTATCATCTGTGTTTTTTGAAACAGATTTTTTCTTGCCGAGAATAGAATATCTAGGTACAACTGAGCGCAAAGTTGGTGAAATGAGGGTGACAACGCACTCAGCCATTCCATTTTTCAGTAGCAGTTCCATAACTTAATAAATATAAGAAAAGCAATGAATTTGCCAAGGATTATTTGTTAAAACAACCTTTATAATTTTATTTTTCAAAATAAATTTCCTCAATTTATTTTGCATAATTTTCAAATATTAAAATTCTTAATTTAAATATTAAATATTAAAATTCTTAATTTTTAAAATTCATAATTTTTTTTAAAAATTACAACAATAATCGATGAGGCAATCATTAGCTTCCCATATTGTTGTTTTAAATAATTTGTTTATAGATCAAACAATCGAAGACGTAGCGCTTCATTTAAATCCTTCTTTGGAAAAGGATGTTTGCATAAGTTCGGCAATTTTTATCATTCTTCTCACGATGTTAAGTATTCTTTTCATTATATTATCTACAGTCGCTTTATGGATTGCTGTTAACTGCATACGGTAAGATATTAAATAGTTTCAATTAAATTTCGCATAATTAAGGCGATTGAAACATTTAGATTACGCGATAAGATATTCTTAAGTGGTTCTAACCCAATTAAGCGAATTTTCATTCAATATACAATAATAAAACGGTCAAGAATGTTCTTCAATTTATGGGACTTTGTACGTTGAACAATATCTTCGGCTATCAGAATATCAGCACGATTTTACTTCTTCTTTCTTAAAAATAGTGTTTCCTCCTTAGCTGGCATTTCCATCATTTAAGAGGATTTTAAGAGGAAGAAGAGGATCGTGAAGAAGAGGATTTGTGCGAAGCAATCGAATCCATATCCCTTACCTTGTTCATCCCTTATTAAAACATTTAATTCTAAAATATTGTTTTTGAATTTTATCAGTTTCTTAACTACATTGCATATTACTATTCAACTGCATTCAGGGCTCATAAATCACCGTATGCGATGAAAAACAATTCATTCATTCATTCATAATAACCGCCAAAGTTTATAAAAAATAGAAATTTCCCCGTATTCGATTTTGCAAATTTTTTTTTTCACATGGTGTATTTGCAGTTTGCAGAAATGCTTCACATAAACCATATAAAAAAAAAAATAAAAATTTTTTCTATGCGAAAACAATTTTTCATATTTTTTATTTGTTTTAATAAATATGCATATTTAAGTTTTAAGAATTTTTTTATGAGCGGTTATTTTAAATTGGAAAAAGCTGCAAGAAAATTTTTAGAAAAATTTGCTGACATATTTTCAAGCTGAAAATACTGCCAATGTAATTTGAGTTAGGGAAAATTGCTAAAATTTTTAAGTTGGGAAAGGTTACTGGTATATTTTTAAATATGAGAAAGTGGCAATAATTTTTAGTGGTAGCCACAAATATTGTTGTATTAAATTCTGTTTAAGAATCGCTGTCGAATACTTTTTTTCTTTTTTTTGTGCAATTTTTTTCTTAAATTAAAAAATTATTAAATGATCGTGCTGTTTCGTATTATTTCTATTATAAATTACAAGTTTAATTGCTCCAAACGAGATTTTACGGATTCTATTCGATAAATTTTGATTTTGTGGATATGCGGAATATTTTCAAATTCGCCTTTTTTTGCCATGGAGATTTCTACAGTTGTGTGGATCTTTCAATTTTTAAATTAAATTTTTTAAAATAGAATTTGATAAGCTAAAATACTTCATAAATCTGATTAATTATTTATTTATTCCAAAAAAATATTAGTCTAACTTTTTTCATTTTGTTTAAATATTCCGATAGATGTTTTTTTCGGCAAATGTACCATTATTTCTCGGTCATTACACATCGCCCTCTCTACCTTCCCCCATCTCCCTCCTCCCTCACCTTCAACTAAAGTATTGCGAACTATCCAGATTTGTGACCCTATTTTACGAGTGCATAATATTGTATTGGCATATTCTACTCGAATAAATTTGTTTGAATGAAGTAGAAATAGCATAAAAATTTGAGGTTCTAAAATGCTTTAGAAGTAGCAAAAGGCTATAAGTAATATAATAGCTTGGATCAAATTGTATACAAATCATATATTTTACGATAGCGAAATATATTTTCTTTTATTGTTGCGAAAAAAAGGAAGAAAGTCGCTAAATTCTAATAAACAGAACAGTAATATTATAAATAAATTTAAATTTCATTTCTATTTGTTCTATTTTAAATTTTTTCTATTTGTTCTTTCGTTTATTATTATTACTATTATTATTGTTATCATTATTATTATTATCATATTGTTATTGCTATTGTTTGCTATCATTATTACTATTATTATTATGTATTATTATCATTATCACCTATTAATATTATCATTATTATAAATTTGGTATTCTTTTTAAACGTAAACTTACAATGAAAATAAAATTTATTGTGAAAATTTTCAATCCACCGAAAAAGGCAATTTCGGCCATTTATTCATTATATGTCTTACAATCTGCAAATGAATCCTAAAAATCACGCAGTTTTTTGCTGCTACTGCGATGTCTCCCGTTTGCTACCGTAAAGGGCTGCAAATGATCTCGTAAAGCCCATTTCATAAAGCAACCAAAATTAAAGATTTATCCAAGTAAATTACTAAAAATATTATTTAATATTATATAAAAAAAGCTAGCTAAAAAAATTTGCAAATTTTGATATTATCAAGAATGATTGTTTCTTTAGAACTTGTGATGAATTATATTACCGTGCATTGCGTAAGACTATCAAATTCACTAATGATATAGAAATTTTTATCAATGAATAATTTCTTTGAATATAAAATAATGAACAATCAAATGCTTCGAAAAGAAAAATAAATCTTCAATTGATTCGTCGCACAGGGCACTAAATATTTTTAAAATAAATTAATCAAAAAATTGAAATATAAGGAAAAGTAATTGAAAAGTAATTATGATAACGCAATATTACCATATATAATGATAACACTAAATTGATATTGAGCACCACACATGGATTTTTAAATGATAAGTTTATTCCATTGGGGAATTAGGGAATAGAAATAAGCTTTCCTTTCTATAATAAATATGAGCCACAAACCTATGAAATGAAGGGAATTAACAAATCATACCTTTTCATCACTATTTCCTTCGGAATCAGCAAAGAGTGAAGAACAATTAGTGTTTGAACTGTACCTAGCTTCTTCAAATCCTGCTCGAAGCTGTAAAAAAGTAAGCTGTAATATAAGCGCGATTTTCAGAAGAATTCTTAAGTCTTCGCATTTTATTAGGATGTAGTATAAACCAATTTGGATAGCGCATGTGAGAAATATGGATACTGGAATATTCAAGAGAAAATCCTATGATCATATAAGCAATATGCAATCTGCTTAAAAAATTTCAAACAAAAATTATTCTAACTTGATCGACAAGGCATGCTGTAAGTACAACCCATGCTTGTCCTGCACCTGGTAAATCTCTAACAGCTTCTTGTGCAAGTAGTATATCAATTATTGTTTCACCTAATTTCTCCCAATAATTGCCATTTAGACCATAAGGACGTAAATGACAATGTATTTTTCCTGGAAATTATTATCATTAAAAATTATCAATTCATGAAAATGTAAGATCGATTCTAACAGAAAATTAAATATATATCATTAATCTTTTAATAAACTTTAATTTTTTAATTTTAATAAATTACAAATAAAGGCCAAATAAAATGATAAAAAATGTTCTTTTGAAATTCTTTTTCTGGAATCTTCCTTTTCTCTTAATATTTTTTAGAAAAGTTGAATGAATTTTTTTAATTTTTTCAGTCAAATTCACTGTTCAAAAATAAGAATTTTTGACTAAAAGGCATGATAATACCTATTAAAAAAGGGTCATAAAGACTGCCAGTGTCACTTCTTTTGCTATCAACAACATCTAAATTTTTGATAACAATGTCGATCATTTTTACAGTTTCCTGCAACATTCAACATTTAGGAGTAAATTTTTCAATTTTAACTCAAGTTGGATTCATTATTTGCATGGTTTACGAATATTCAGTGATAGTGAATTTTGGTAATAATTTCATTATCAAAGGTAAAGAATCGCAATTATGCTGCTTAATATCAGCTGAGGCTCAATGAACGAAAATATTTACTCCTTCGCAATATTATGCAAATTAATTATGTTGATTTTTATAGATATATATATATATATTTTTGGAGCGAACGATTTATAATTAAATTATGTTCACGTTTTGGAATATAATCAAATATGGAAATATGAAATGCCTTGGCATGATCCCTAGGACTTGCCGTTTCGCTTCGTGACATTGCTGATAAAAATGTTCTAGTGGTAAACATATCACGAAGAACCGTTTGTTGCTTAAGTAAGCGTTCATATATCTGAAAAAATAATAATTCAAGCAAAAATCATATTAATATTTTATATTTTTAAGCATGAAATTTTCTAATTTTCAATCAATTTATTGCATAAAAAATTGGAGAAAATATTAAAAATTAAATAAGATATTAATAAAATATGTTAAAGTTGAATTTTAATCTTCAAATCTATCATTTCACCAGATGTTTCCCATCTAATTGCAAAAAAGGTAATTTAATGCTAAGGAAATTATCGCAATCGAAATTAGCTGAGAAATTTGAAATTATCGAATGACAACTAGTAACTAATAGCAGTAAGTTAGTGAAGAACTTTTTTAAATATCTGAAATAAAATAATCTCGACGCTTAAAAAATTTAAAAAACCTAAAATTTAAAATTTAAATTTGAAAAACGAAATAAGCCAACGAAAACAAATTTTCTATAAAAAAAACCGGAATTTTTTTGTTTTTACGAAATCACTTGGTGAGTTTCACTGTACCCTATACAGTCGAGAATATTGGATATTTGATAATGTAGACTAAGCCAGGTGATAACGGCTCAGATATGAATTAAAAATATAAAAATGGTATAAAATATAAAATACAAATATGAAAGGATGGAAAAGAATGATAATGATAACGATATAGGCTGCCTTATGATAAAATTACCAATTGTCGTGAAACAAACCATCCTTCGAAAAAAAAAGAATTAAAATTGAAAATCGAGCAGAAATAGGAAAATACCTCTTCAAAGACATTTTCGATCTTTTTCCCACCATTTCTCGTTTGTAAGCGATTCCAAGTGAAGCGCAATGATTTCTTTTGAAGCTTATTCAATTTCGAGTCGTAACAATAATGCCTCATTGAAGGCTCTTAAGTAAAGAATTTTTATTTTATAAGTAAAAATTAGGTGAAAAATTTGAAGTCCACGAGAAGTGCGAGTGGATAATATTTTCCTACTGAAGCTACACTCACTCCGAATTCTAACGACAGTTTTTTTTATAGTTTGGATTTTATGGAATTTATTTGAGAGTAAAATACATTCCAATAGAAACATGGCTTGGTTTCACGTTTCATTATTATGGGAAATCAAACATTTCTGGTTTAATTCTCCAAAGGTGCCACAAAAACTCTAATTTCTAATAATCTCTGGTCTATATTAAATGAATATTTAAATATTGCGTTTTATTTTTTATATAAATTCATTTTTACTTGTAGTTAGAGCGTGAATGCTTGGCATACTTGATGAACGTCTTAACTGATTCGGATAAATTTTCTCATTTTGTTCATTGCTCAACTCGGATAACGAAGGATCAGTTTTTTGGCGAATAGCTCGTCTTAAAAAAAAAAAAAAATTTTCCGTTTCTAAATTATAATCTCATGATTCTTATCATTGTTCGATTCAAGCTGATACAATAAGATAAAAAAGAAAGTTAGCCAATAATTTAAAAAATGAATTACCTTAAAATCATTGCTTAACGCTTGATGCTTGTTATCTTATTATTATTATCATTATTATTATTATCATTATTATTATTATCATTATTATTATTATCATTATTATTATTACTATTATTATTATTATATCTTATTATATCTTATTATCTCATTATATTTATTATACCATTTTCTACATTTCTTTTCAAATTTATTTATTTCAAATTTCAAATAGAATAATTTTTGTAAAAATTTGCTAAATTATAATTGATAATGAACTTACTGCATTTTGGTGAACGTTATGGTGAAATATTAATTTAATTAGTTCGATTAAACGATTTGACTGCGAACAATAAAGATGTATTCTACTTGCTATTCTAATACTTTCATTTATAAAATTTTATTACTTATTTATTAAATTTACTAATTTAAAAAATTAATTTTAAATAATTCTAAAAATTATTATTTTATAATTTTATTATATAATTATTATTTATTATTTTATTATTATTTTATAGGTTATTTTTTACAGTTATTTTCCCGACATATAAAGCAAATTACAGAAAAAAAAACAAGAGAATTCATATCAGCATTTCTTGCGAAATGTTAGTAAGTCTACGTATCTATGTCAACCTATTTTCAGTCAATCACTTTATTCATTGGCTGTGTTGTATTATTTTTGATTGCCATCTCATTATCTTCTATTCTCACGTAAATATATCACAAAAAATATCCATATTCATATCTTATAATTGATTTCTGATTCTCTATGCAAATCCAATCCTTAATGCCAACGCAGTGCCATTCATATCTATTATCTTAAATAAATTTATAATACTACTCGTCTTAATACTTAATAATACTTAAAAATAAATCTTGTCGAAATAAAAATAAATGATGAAATCAATGAGAATTTTGCAATATGCTAAAAAACAACTGATAAAACTGATAAGAGATTATTAATTATAAGATGAACCAAATTAGTAAGATGATGTAAATTGTTGGGAAAAAAGTAATACTACAAATTAACATTGACACATTATTAAAAGAATATGAAAAATTCTCTCTTGCTTCGTATTCGAGTAATTAATTGATTATATAAAAAACCATTTAAAATGAGTTATTGTAAAAGAAAGAAAAAACAATAGAATAAAATAATGATAATAATGTGATTAGAAAAATTAAATGGATTAGCAAATTAAGATCAAATTAAAATTAGTATTCTGGCACTGATAAGACAAGCGAAGTCATTGATAAGCGATGCACTGATAAAATATAAATTAGTGGTATTCCATAACAATTTGATTTATTTTTGGTTATATATTGTGATTTGATTTTTAAAACAATTTTGCTAGTTCATTCAACACTTTTCTTAAATTTCCTTCAAATTTTTAGAATTTAAACTTATAAAAGAAGAAATAAAGAAGAACCTTCGTCTACTTGATGAGGAATCATCATCTGTTAGGAAGGAGGTCGATGCCTCTGCGTAAAATTGCTGAAAGGATAAAAAGATTATTTCTTTTTTATTTCACCACTTTTTGACGATTGAATGAATGAAGGACTATATGAATGAAGGAACTAACTTGCGAGATGTCAGAATTCCTCTTAGACTCTCTTGTTCGTCCACTTCTTCGTCTTTGCTCCGCTGTGGCCGATTTTGATGTTGTGGCATTCTCATTGGCTTTACTATGCTGAAGTTCGTTAAGTAGTCGTCTTCCACGAACAATTTTAGATATAATAAACATCTGAAATCATCAGCATTATATTTAATAGCTCATCGGTTTAATATTATCGAAATGAAAATGAATAAAAAAATGAAAAAAGAACAAAAAAATTGGAAAAATTCTTGATAAAATATAAAAATAATTTTCTGCTAAAAAAGAAAATTACACGAAAAAACATTTCGTTGAAAATAATTTCAAAAAAAAAATAATTTCTTCCTAACTAATAATTAAAAAAAAATAATAAAATAATTAAAATCTGCTTTAAAAAAAAGAAAGATGAATGTCTGAGACAGCTGCTTTAGAAATAAATGAGAGCTAAAGCTGGGGCTAATTTCTAATTAAAATTAAATCCAAATATAAAAAATAACCATTAAAATTACGAGATTCGATTAGCCAAGTGAGGAGTAAAAGCTTGGCTTAAGCCTTCAATAGGAATAAACCTATTATTAAAAATTCTAGGTAGTTCTTGCGATGTACTTATACTTTTACCACTCTCTCGTAATTCGCTAGATCATATTAGTAAAAATTTGCCTAAGTGCTAATTTCTTTATCATTTTTTTCATAAATTTGTAAATTTTATTAAAATATGTAAAATATTAAAATACCTATAGATAGATTGAATTTTTAAAATTTTTAAAATGCTTAATAATTTGAAATGCGCTAAAATTATTATATTCGGCCAAAATAATCTTTAAAATTATGAAAATTATGAATCAAAAATTAAAAAAAAATTAAAACCAATTATAATATCATAATTGCAAGGTTTTGCAAAATTAAATGCAATTTTCTGGTTTTTTTTTTTTTTTAAGTAATCGGAAAGGAAAAAACCGATCATTAGATTTTAAATTCCCTTTAAAAATTAAGAAAATTCTTTTTAAAGATTTCCTATTTCCGTTAAGTTTCCTTTTCAAATATCGAAGTTATTTCTGTATTACTTATGAAGATTATGATTGAAATTTCTCACATAAATGAATTTTTTAGAATTTTTCAGCATTTTTTAAAATTTACCACAAATTACCACAAACCAATCTACACCAATAATCAATTATCATTTCTAGATTGGCCTCGCTGACTGAACTACACAAATTTTTTTTAGGAAATTGCTTGACGATATTTGATCGGAATTGAAAAATAAAAATGTTATATCGTCTATATTAGTCGGATTTTTAAAAGGCAAATTTATTCCTAAGCAACAATTCACTTAGCCATTTTACAAAAATGAATTAACATTTTTCTTTATTGTGGCATATGTCAAGAATATCAAAAAATTACTTGCAAAAAACTGGTAGGAACAGATAAAAATGGTTTATCAAATTTTTTTGAATTGATAATCTTTATAGATCAAAAATCATAAAAATTATAAAAATTTTATTTGAATAGCAAATGGCAAATATATTTTTAAGGCTAATTAAGTATATCTAATACGATATTTTAAGCTCTAAAATAACGATTTACAATAATCTATTATCCATTGAATGTGTGGCATTTGAATTTCGAAATCGTACGAGTATATAAAATATTCTTATCGAATATCCTCGCCTTTTGAAATCTTACAATTAGCAAGCACATTGTGAAATTCCGACGCAAATGTAATACTTAGTGACTCAAATCTAATAAATAATGCAATACCCTTGAAATAGTTGGCAATAATTGTTACAATATTTGCCTTATGAAATTGTCTCAGGAATATTTCTTTCCCACTGGAAGAAATTTCGCAATATTAGAGGGGCATACACGATACGATATTCTTGATATTCGCGAAAATTTCCAGAATTTCGTGAAAATTTTGTAATATCGCATATAAATTTCCATATCTCTGCACTATCCTCTCCTTAGGGGATAGAATAGCTCAGTAGAGTTGTTGCAAATCGGAAGTGCCGATGCTGAGGTTCGATTCCTTGCAGAAATAAAAAATACAGGAGATTCATTTGTATTTCTATAGCCAAGCGACTCCCTGATATATTTGGTCAGTGCGATAGGCTTATTTTAGAGCAAGTTTAACCAGTAATAGTGACTCTTAAAAAAAAGTAACAAAAAATGATGCCATTTTAGAGGCAAATTATATCTGACAAGAAAGCTCTTTCTTAGTGATAAGATAAGAGAACCAGCAATATGTCCATCTCGAAGTCTCTTTTCTGCTAAAAGAGCTTTTTCTTGGTTTTTTAAACCAATAAAAATAAAAGAGGAGAAGAACTATTCATTCACTCAATTGTTAGAAAGCGCTCTTTTTTAATTAATTAGAAAATTATTCCATCTTTTTGCATCGGCAATAAGCTAGCTAAAGCATTCGTTGAGATTTTTGAATATTTCACACATTTTATGACAAAATAAAAATGTTATTAAACGTGAATTTGATTAAATTTGATTAAAAAAATCCATTAACATAAAATCATTAACAAATAATTGAAATAGAAAAATTCGTTAAAAATTTCAGCAAAGAGATTTTATTTTATTATATAATTTTATCTAATATTTTCATTATTTTTTCATGGCGAAGGTAATTCATTGGTATCGATAAGTATTGATAAGTTAGTTATCATTCTACTCTGGATTTTATCTTCTGGAACACGAAAGGACTCTGAAAGGACTCTTTCTTGCTATATAGAAAAAAAGACATTAAATATTACTGTCTGCGTAGGAAACTTGTGCATTTGCGTTTTATTTGCGCATCTAAAAGCTCTGAATATTATTATATTTGATAAAAATATTTAAAAAAAAAAAAATATTGAAAAAAATTTGGCAAAAAAGTGGACAATTTAAAATCGTATTTGGCGAACAGTAAGCTTTTAATAGAAAACCAGGTTTACAATCTAAAATTATAACCGTAAAAATTCAATATAATCCAGAATTCATATATGAAAAATGAAAGATGTTTGAGAAGGTGGAGCACACTTATTATTAATGTGGTAGAAACCAAATTCGAAATGACAGCACTAAGCAATAAAAGAGAAAGAAGAATCGATCTGCAAATCCAAAAACTTTTTAAATATCAAAATTTTTCAACAAAAATCCATAGATCTTTTCATCATCGTTTTTGTGCTTTCATATAACCCTTAATTTAAATTCTTTTTTCTTATTGCACAAAATAAACTGATCATGGAAATTTACGCTTGCAAAAATATTATAGATTATATGGAATATTTCAAAAATATCGTCATCGTCGTTTTTCAATGAAGTGATTTTCTCTCGAAAGAAA